GGTTTGACAGTCTGAGCGATAACCGTATAACACCGTTCCAAACGTCCAACAACCACCAATAACCGTCTCCTAATACGAGTGCAGAACCCTGGGAACAGAGCCTGTACACGGATGTGCAAGGTTGTAGGGTAGATCGAATGAAATCTTGTTAAAGATTTGTTTTGTGGTTGTCCTTAAGCGTACTATCGACGAAATCCAGCAATAGGAAAGCGCCAATACGATGCCCAGAACCGTTTATACTCGTTTGGATCAGGAACTAACTGCCTTAAACCCAAGGAGTCGTCTCAAGTCAGGAACTAACTGCCTTAAACTCTCGACCGCCAACCGAAACCAAGTGTACGCCAACCGAAACTCTCTTATACGGCAACCGGAACCCTCAACTCTTTGATCACAACGCCTTTTTACTTGAATGAAAGAGCTAGCAGGATGATATTGACAAGCTAGATCCCCAGATGCACCTAGTAACGCGGGGCAATCCGTGAATCGCTCAAATACAGGACAGAGATATAAATACTAAAACAGAAAATGATAAGATCAGGTAAATCGCCACAACAGAATGATGGTCCATGTGCATAATTTGTAAGGTATCGTTTCGCCATAAGGCCCAGAGTCGAAAATCCAGGTCTAGATGACCGGTAGCGTGTTTGGTGTCAATGACCTTTGTAAATCCTCCTTTATTGCGACCGTCTATGCGTTTTTGTGAACGGTCCGCTAACCGTTGTTGTTATCGTCGTGTTGCTCCACTTCCTAGCTTTCCATCGATATCCATGACTTGAGGTTAACCGCCAGACACCGTTAGGCAAATCTCTTAACGAGATAATCGCAATCTGTTGTCGAGTTGTTCGGTTGGACGGTTGCGGGTTAAGGTCGCCGATCTGCAGCCAAGCCCTCGTTTCCACTGAGTCATGCTTCCCGTTTAACCGCACCTCCACATGTCCTTATCCTTGCGTAAGTTCCGAAACCGCGTTCCAATGCTGTCAGGGACTGATCCGTTCGAAGCCTGGTTGAACCTTCGTCGGAGCGTTCTGAGTTCGAGTCCCAGCGGTACCAGACCGAATATGCCTTTTAGTTTACACTCCCTTTTGGTATATATATAAAGGATTGGATGGATCCTCTATGTTGGTTGGGCTCTGCTGTTGTTTTGGTTGTTGTAAGAGTCGTTCTGAACGGCCAGTTGCTATCAACAACGGTCGAGTCGAAACGCCTCCTCGCAGATATCTCCCTAACTGGCCATTCGGGACTCATGCCAGTTCCTAGACGTGCGCTGTACCCATGAACCGAATGAAAACGGTGGTTTTCTATGTGTGTTCCAAAATGCGGCTTATCACCGGACTGGGCTAAGGAGTTCCAGGACGTCTTCAACAAGGAGTCTTTCGACACGCTCCCGGAACGGAGAACCTGGGACCACGCCATCGAACTCGTCCCTGACGCTAAGCCCACCAACTGCAAGGTGTACCCCATCTCGCCCCTCGAGCAACGCGAGCTCGACGCCGTTCATCGAGGAAGGGCTTTCGACGGGCCGGATTCGCCCCTCCAAGTCTCCGATGGCGTCTCCGGTCTTCTTCGTCAAGAAGAAGGATGGCGGACTCCGCTTCGTCCAGGACTACCGTGCTCTCAACGCGATGACTGTCAAAAACCGGTACCCCCTTCCGCTGATCAACGACCTCATCAACCGGCTCAAAGGCGCTCGTTACTTCACCAAACTCGACGTCCGTTGGGGCTTCAACAATGTCCGGATCAAGGAAGGTAACGAGTGGAAAGCGGCTTTCCGGACTGACCGAGGCCTGTTCGAGCCCTTGGTGATGTATTTCGGCCTGACAAACTCTCCCGCGACGTTCCAAACGATGATGAATGACATTTTTCAGGACCTCATCCTCTCCGGAGACGTCATGATCTACCTTGACGACATCCTGATCGCCCATTCCGACCTCCGGAAACACCGGCAGATTGTTCAGGAGGTCTTGCGACGACTCCGAGAGCACAAGTTGTACCTCCGAGCGGAGAAGTGCGACTTTGAAAAATCGTCAATCGAGTACCTCGGAGTCATCATCTCCCACAACCACGTTGAAATGGACCCCGTCAAGGTCGCAGGCGTCTCTGCTTGGCCGACTCTGGAAAACAAGAAGGACATTCAGCAGTTCCTTGGGTTCGCTAATTTCTACCGCAGGTTCATTCGGGACTTCTCGACCCTTGCGCGCCCTCTTTTCGTGCTCACCAAGAAGGACCAGCAGTGGACTTGGGGCGACGCGGAGGCCTCCGTGTTCCAAGCGATCAAGGACGCAGTCACCTCGGAACCGGTCCTGGCGATTCCGGACGACGCACAGCCTTTCCGACTCGAGGCGGACAGCTCTGATTATGCGACGGGGGCGGTTCTTTCACAATCCGCCCCAGACGGGAAGTGGCACCCTGTAGCATTCTATTCCAAAAGCTTAAATGATGTCCAGCGCAACTACGAAATCCACGACAAGGAGATGCTCGCGATCATCCGCGCACTCGAGGAGTATAGACACTTCCTCGAGGGCGCCGCGCACCCTGTCGAGATTTGGACTGACCACAAGAATTTGGAGTACTTCAGGAAGACGCAGCACCTCAACCGGAGACAGGCCCGGTGGTCCCTGTATTTCTCCCAGTTCGATTTCACGCTGTACCACAAGCCTGGCCTGACATGGGTCGACCTGACGCCCTCTCCTGGAGACCCGACCACGGAGTCGATTCCGACAACTCCGATGTCGTCCTTCTGTGGCCTGAACTCTTCCACGTCCGCGCACTCGAGGGCATTTCCGTTTCCGGTCCCGGCTCCGAACTCCTCCGCGACATCCATGATGCCCTCTCCGGTGAGCCTGACCTGGAGGAGCCCATCGCACTAGCGGCCCGGCAACTTCTTAAGGTTCAAGGTCAAGCTCGAGGCCCCCGCCCGACTCCGGTTCCGACTCCGGTCCGGCCCTCCATCTCGCCCGCACAATCACCGATCCGTCAACGCCCTCCCGACCGGTCGCCCTGGGACCTCGCCTGCGACGCCACCCAAGCCTTCTGTGCCCGACAGCGGCAGCTACGGACAAGCAGTATATAGTCAGCTACCTAGCAGGCAGACCCTCAGAGTTTCTTCTCTTTGGATCCTCCCCTGCTAGGTCAGCTTCATTTGTATTCGCTTACCAATGTTCACGCTTTGGATCCTCCCCTGCTAGGACCTTGATCTCAGGCCTCCGGGGTTGCCCTTACAATATCATTCATCTTTATTCACCCCCATCCTCACCAATTATTCACCACTTGGGCAAAAATTATCAGTACCAACCTAAATATACAGTGGGTTTTGGGATCAACAGGTGGATCTATTGTGACGATAATATGCAGAATTAAATAAAATGAGTTAGTATTTCATTGTGTTACAGGCTTACAGCCTAGATGCTGAATGGCTGTGGCCCAGATCAAAGATTTTCCCTGAAGAGCTCCTAAATAGGCCAAAATTTCTAGCAGTCACACAGATCACTAGACACTACTAAAAATTAATTTCAGTACCAATGCTATACCTTTTAGGGGGGGGTGCCAATGTAAGGGCAACCCTGGAGATCTGAGATCAAGGTCCTAGCAGGAGAGGATCCAAAGTGTGAACATTGGTAAGCAAATACAAATGAAGCTGACCTAGCGGCGGATCCAGAGAGAAGAAACTCTAAGGGGCTGCCTGCTAGGTAGCTGACTACTGTCCTATTTTGATCAAGTGTCCGCGTTACGCGTTACATTGACCAAAAAAGTCCCCATCAAAAATCGCCATAAATCGAAAGAAAATTTTTTGGTCCCAAATTTTGAAAAAGTGCCGGACACTTGATCGAAATAGGACAGTATATACTGCTTGTCCGTAGCTGCTGCTGTCAGGCACAGAAGGCCTGGGCGGTGTCAGAGGCAAGGTCCCAGGGCGACCGTTGGGAGGGCGTTGACAGATCGGTGATTGTGCAGGCAAGATGGAGGGCCGGACCGGAGTCAGAACCGGAGTCGGACCAGAATCGGACGCATCTCCGAGGGGCCGAAAGGGAGGTTCCCCTGACATTGACCCTCTACAGATCTTTTAATGAACATTTTACATGTGTTGCCCTGTTTGCATTCAAACTCTAGGAAACATTGATAAAGGGACATTCAATTTTATAGTAATTACCCCCAAATTAAATATATATGGCAATTGATATCAATCAATGTGCCATTATGTCCGTCCACAAAGCAGTGATGTTCATAAGGCCTTAATCTGGGGCTCCGAAAGCAATTAAGCCTTCAATAAGTCATAGGGCTTAAGCACTTAATTGCCTACAAAGGAAGTTCAGACTGCCCTCTATGCAGAATCTCTTACAAAGGGGCCGACATCATGCTCTTTCCTTTCCATGTACTAGCTAGAATAAGTGATAGCAGCTCTACCTCTTGGGTAGGTCAGTTGTAGTATAGCCGCTGTGCCCTGGCTTTATAGGCAGATAAGGCATTTCAAAAAAATATTTTATTTGATGTGACATGTGACCTTAAGCCCTTAAAGCTTCTGGCACACCCCAATTAAGCCTTAAGCCCTTATGTCAGGGCTTATGATATCAGCCGCAAAGGCCGAATTTTTTGACTTGATTTTGGTTTATAAGTACTTACTCTCAGACCTCCGTATTTAGATTTTAAGCACATACTTACCCACTTGGAACAATGTTGTCAAACATTTAACTCTACATTTATTTCCATATTGAGTTGCCTGAATTCAAAGGTTTACTTCTGAAAAATCAGAAACCTGCCAAGGCCGGAGTTTGGGACACACTTTCCCCCCATTCGGAAATTTGTGGCTCCATTCTTTATGATTTTGCCACCCAGAATGGAGTTCAGGCTCAGCTATGTGCTTGTTTTACTTTGCCAGTGCCCTTTAAAGGTCAGGTGCAAGCCAGTATGTTTCGAGGGAAATCTTTTATTTAACACGCGATATACGGGTACGACCATGACTTCCTCCGAGTCGAAACGTCGTGAAAGAGGTATTCTATAGCACCCTAAATCTGAATATCCACAAACACTGGCCGATGGTCACTGGCAAGAACGCCATCGTCGGAACGGGCATCGACAACACGATATGCAGTCGATTGCCTGCATTAGTTTCAGACTTGGAGAATCATATGAACAAGCACTGACCATCCTTCCCCCCCGGCGAATACGAAGTCGATCCTGCTCCATGCAGACGTGTCGTTCGGCGCCGTGAACCCTGTGAACGTGGCGTGGTTGACAGAGACGGCACGGCGCGGGGTCGTGGCACGGAGGTCATGCAGGATGAAGGCCGCGGAAGTACTAACACCGTCCGCTGGTATACGGAAGCGCTCTGCGAAGTCCTGCGGGAGTGGCTCTGGCGAGCGGGTTCCGGTAACGATTTTGTAGGCGGCAGAATCGTTGCCTTCGGGTGGGCTGCATGATGCAATTAGCATATTTTGCATCATGACGCGACAGGAACAGAAAACAAGGGACTACACACCTGTTGAAGTCACCCAATACGAACACCGGCGCTGCGGTCATGTAGCTCTCGTACTTTGCCCGCGCCAGCAGCATACTCCCCCCCGCCAGTTTCCTCTGCCCATTCGAGCGCTCGTCGAGGTGTGTGTTCATGACGGTGAACTCTGCGCGCTTTGGATGTGAAAGGTGGCGTAATCGGAGGGTGGTGCATATGCGGACGGAGCCCGCGTCAGGATAGCGAGAGCCCGCCACAAACGGTGTGGGTGACAGCCAGAAGTAGTCGCTCGACAGGACTTGGAATAAGGACCTGTCATCAACATGGTGAACATAGTAGCAGGATACAAGGAAGACGCACTTTTTGTAGAATATCGCGCTGAATTCACCAGCCTCCTGGCCGTCATCACGCCCAACACCCACCTAGCTCATTTCAGAATCAAAGTACAGCCGATGAGAGAGAATAGACGCACCCAAGCCCAGTTCGTACCGAACAGCTCACTCAGATCGTTCACCTGCCGCACCAATGCCTCTTGAACGCACACTACATCCGCCTCGCCGCCAAGCACCTGCTCTGCCACTCTCATTCTCCGCAAGCTCCATCGATGCTCCTCATGCGCTTTACGGGGGAGATATCCGTCTGCTGGGGGCGGCAATGGTGACGGTAACGCGGTAAGTGAGTCTGTTACGGAGACGTTGTCAGGCCGCGTGTCGTAGCGCAAGTTGTAGGTAACAAAGCGGATCCCTGCAACGACGGTGAATAGTGTAATCTCGGAAAAGTGTGGAGGAAGCGGAACCTGTCGATGGGGCTAAGTTGGGTTGGAGCTGTCGCCAGAGGAGGAAGGATAAGAGAACGGGGAGCAGCACAGAGAGGGGCAGGCGCACCTGCATAGCACTCCCTCCGCGTTGTGGTGGAGAATGTCAAAGGGATTACATAGAGTGGGAGGAAACCACGCTGTCAATCGATCCCGTTATATCGAGAATCACATCTCAGTCAGACCATCGGGAAAATGCTAGAAACAGCAGAGGATGAGGCCTGAAGCACATCTGAGCACATTTGTGGTTGTGTCTAGATCTAGGCTCTACAGTTTCCCCTTAATCTCGTCATACAGCTTCTGCAGCTCGTCCTTTGGCGGCTGCTTCGCGGGCCAGCCAATAGACAGACCCTCCTCCTTCGAAGTCTTGGGAATGACATGGAAATGGACGTGGTCAACTTCCTACCAGTCGCATTAGAACCTAATTGAGGTGAAGAAAGCGCGACGGACCTGGTGGGCCAGCCGACCGTTATTCTGCAAGATATTGTAGTTCTCCGCGCCGTCTCCGAGAGCGAGGACGATCTTCTTCGCGATGGGCATCGCGTCAGCGAGGTACTCGTCGGGAAGCTGGTGCATTTTCTCAGCATGGTCTAATAATCCGTTCGTGAACGCGGCAAGATGAAAGTGGAATGTGGCGCACATTTGGGGATGACAAGCGCGTGTCCCTTGGAAAGCGGGCCGATGTCGAGGAAGGAGAACCTAGGAAAGGTGGTTGTGCAAGTGGGTAGGAGCTATATATGCACTTGAGGCCTACGACAGCTCAGTTTCAACGAGTTTGAAGCTCGGAATGTCGCCTATGGAAGTCTTAGCACAAGGAGGTCCAGAACGTTCAGTGTACCCTTGATAATCTTGCAGAAGATACAGCTAGCTAGATGCCTCAAGCCACATCAGCCGCGCTAGCCTCCACTGCACGAGGAACACACTTTGCGGACATAATGAGAAGAAGAAGAAGCGTCACGCGTGACATCCGCTTGACGTGGCCATGACTTGACCCGCAGAAGTCATCCTGATTGGGCTCGTTCTGAAGGTAGAAGAGCGCGACAAACTTGCATCCGCGGGCCCATTTTCGCTTCTGCTCTTGACGACCATGCCTAACGCCGATTTTCTGCCTATGCCCCCAGAGGTGACCCTCGAGAACGTCTTGGGAGCGCTCGACCAGCGGGACCTCGCCTCTGTCGCCCTTGTCAGCCGCGACGCCTCCCAGCTGGCGACTTCTTGGCTCTATCACGACGTGAAGCTCGACACCGCGACGGGCGCTGTGCGGTTTTTCCAGACTGTGGTGCAAAACGCTGAGGTCGCAAAAATGGTGAAAAAGCTTGCCATGTAAGTGGCCGAGTCTTCTTAAGTTGACCACCGTTGTCTCAACTCGTCGCTCTACCAGCACCAGAGATGCCTATCTACTTGCTATTCCGCTTAGCGGTTTTTTGCACCTCTTCCGTGCGGCCTTGGTTGCGGTGGCAGCAGGTCTCCAGGAGCTCGATCTCGACTATGGAGGATGGGACATGCTCCACATCGTCGAGGACGTGCATTTCCCCCAGCTCCACTCGGCGAAGATGGTCTATCTTCCATCGTTAGAAACGTTTCTCGCTGTCAACCCCGCTATTCAAAGGCTCGACCTTACGGGCACGTTGTTCCACCCAGATGACACTTTCCCAACGTCACACGCGCCACCGATGAGACATCTACGCGTTCTTCAAGGCCCTGATGCATCCATCGAGCAGCTCCTTCATTCGCCAGACACAGCCCAGACATCCATCGTTGCTATGGTGGTGGACTGGCAGAAATACCTGTCCTTTCCTTTCGCCCCATTCTTCCAAGGCCGCAGCGGTAGTTTCGTCAACGTTCATGACTTCGTGTCCTCGGGACTGCACAACGTGGCTGACCTCCTCCCGTATCTCGGAAAATACATGCCACAGCTCAACAAGCTGACCATCATCCCTGGCGAAATGGAAACCGACTTCGAATCCGGATATTGGGAGGTGCGTTCTCAGGCTGCTCTGGATCCTCTTATTCACGAACTACAACTTAGGCACTCTACGCAGCATTCGACGCCCACCTGCCGGCATTTCACTCCCTGACAAAGCTGTATCTGGCCGCGCAGAGCCCTATGACGTTGTCGCAAGGCCCTACTGTACCGGAATTCATGGAGCATGTTGAATCCGACTTCCGCCGTCTGCTGCGCTGGGGCAATCTCTGTCCCACCCTCTCCGTCTGCTTTTTCTCCGCTATGCATAGACACTGGATCCGCGAAGGGGACCCACTGCAACCAGGCGCGAACGGCCCCCTGACGATAGTATGGGGCGCGCTGCACCCTCTAGCCTTCCACGCCATCTCGCTCCTAGTCGCTGCCGCCGAACCCGGAGAGTTCCCGCCGGAATACACCGCCTTTTGGCGCGCGACCCTCGGCGATTTGGGATTTGGAAACATATTGCGCAATGTGCGGCAGGTCGACGAGAACGGAAACCGATACCCGCTATATGGGTTTATTCAGTTTGTGCTCTCCAAAATGCCGGACGCTGCTACTTCGCCATTCCTTCCACTGCTCTAAACTTGATAAAATTTTGATTCGATATGTACAGGCTGTACAGCGACATACTTGCATCGTTGATCCTTGTATATACTTACAGTTTCTAAGTTTATCTTAAATTTGAATCGTTCTCAGTGCACGGCGTGCTACCACGATTTCGGGCTCATGTGAACCCTATGTGACTATTCAACGGTACGATCATCCAACCACTCAGGCTGTGATTGTTGTCTCGGAATCAAGGCAAAATACGAAGACGAACTCCAATTCATGAGCTACTCAATGTATTACCATATCTCTATCGTAAGTAGTTTCCCTCAGCGTATGCGCAGCTGAATTTTACAATTTCTGAAATCGCACAATAGACAGTTCCATCAGTCGATTTCGCAACTCGAACCCAGACAAAAAATTGTCACTTAGTACAACAAACTTGAACAGCAGCTAAGTATTTACATGCACATATTCTCTACCAGTACACCGAATTGTTTACTTGAACTGCAAACATGATGAACACCATCGCCAGAGAAAAAACGGTGGACGAGACTTACGTTCTTGCCATCCGTCCAGGCCTTGCCGTCCACTTCGAGGTCCCAAGCAAGGGCCGCCTCGAAGAACTTCTTGTCCTCCTCCTTCGTGAGGTCGAGCTTGGTAAAGTTGTAGCTTTCCCAATCGGGGGCGACGCTCACGACGGGCTCTGCCTCGGGGCCACGGAGGATGAGTGTACCGGAAATAAGGGAGTTGTTGGCGGTGCCAAGCACGCCGACCGACGCAAACAGGTATTTGCGGGATGCCTCGAGACGGTTAAAGAAACCGCCGATTTGGTTCGAAGACATGAAGGTCTGGGTGAGCTCTTCGGGGTACTTGAAGTCGACGCGCCAGACGGAGAATCCAGTGGCATCGTAGCTAATCAAGCCATTATTAGCTGAGCGCATCGAGATACAGGATAATAACGCACTTCTGGTAGAACCACTCGATGGAACCGCCAGCTCCACGCGTGTCGAGATTGGAGTACGACCGTTTCCAGTCCTCGAGATTGAAAGTGCTCTTGGGCAAATCGTCAAGCGGATTCTTGGTTTTGGGCTCAGCGGGGATATCGTCCTCCTCCTCATCGTCAGCCTCCTTCTTTTTGGGCTTCTCCTCCTTTTTCGGCTGCGCGGGCTTGGGCTTCTCCTCCTTCTTTGGCTTCTCCTCTTTTTTGGGGGCGACGTAGGCAACCGCGGTATCGAGGACGGGAATAGGGTCCCAGATACTTCCACTAGCGATAGCGGGCTGGTTGATGACAGTTTCGAGATGGCGGAAAAGGTTGGGGAGCTTTTTGCGTGTGGCGGTATCGAGGGTGATGGTTGCAGCACGGTAGACATAGGCTGCAACGAAAAGGTCCGCAATTGTCAAACGTTCGCCAACGAAGAAGGTGCGGGAAGAGATGTGCTTTTCGAGGGTATAAAGACCGCGAAGTTGGCGCTCGAGGAAGATGTTATGGAGCTGATAAATGTTATTCGATTGACTATGACAATGGGGAAGGAGGACACACGGGCTTGCTGTATGGGGCGTAGGTGCCACGAAGGAGGTTGTTCAGTTGGGAAGTGTAGACATCGACCTCAGTCTCCGCGAGATGAACCCACTGGTCCACGAGCGCCTTGTCAGTTGGGGTCTTGCCAAGGAGGCTCGAGTCTTGCGCCAAACCAGCAACTACACGCTTATCAGTACATCTACTAGTAGCGCATGCCCAAAGAGAAATCGAGGATGAAAGAGGGGAGCGGAGGGGAAAAGACGAAGAGATATGGATGGGGAAGGGGCAATACGAGGAAAAAGAGGTAATGAGGGAAGTCAAGACGTACGATACCGCGCGATGGCGACCGATTCGAAGACGATGAAGCCGTCTTTTCCCTCCCAAGCCGGAATCTTCCCGTGGGGGAACTTGTCGGTGAATGCGGGGAGCTTGTTGTCCTGCATGTGCGTGTATCCGGTGGGCAACTCAATAGTCAGGCCGGTCAATGCAGCAACCGCGCGCGCCTAGTTACCAAAGCGCTTCATCAGCGAGCAGATCGGAAGGGCAGGGAAGGAGATCCAGCGTACGGGCTTAGCGGCGTATTGCACGGGAATGGTCCAGAGAGTGCCAGCGGACATCGTGGTTGGGGATGGTCGTGGAAGGTGAGAGAAAAATTTTAGAGGAGGTGACGTCGAGTCACATCGACATCGATATGATGCAGATTGGGGCTGTACGCTGCTGACGTGATGCTCAAGTCCGGATCAATCAACTCCAGCAGGCTGAACAATAGGGGGGCTAGCAAAATATCTAGCAGTACACTTGACTTGAGGGAGAGCTGTTGATTATCATCCATAAGAACCTGATATGCCACACGATAAACCACTGTTGCATACAATTTAGTCAATTCAAAAACCTCTTCTGTAATCTCAACAACTTGAAGAAACTTTTTACAATTTATTGGCCAATTGAAGTCTATACAGTTGTCTTTTTTCTTACTATAATAGGCTACTTATGATGATGATGATGATGATGATGATGAGTACTACCATGTTTACCATGCCTAATATGAGAGAATGACATCATACTTTAGCCATGCCTTTATGTGCTGTCTGCCTTATGTCTGACTCCATGCTGTCAATCAACATCAGCACCGACATCTGATGATCCAGTCACCATCTTATCATCCATCTTATCTCCTCCTTGTCTTATCTTATCAATCAGGGCCAGAATGAATGGTTTAAAAGGCAAAGAAAAAGATTTCTTGATGCCACTTCTATTTGAGCCATTCAATGTCAATAGCTCATTAAATTATCACTTACAGTATCTATAGACATTATTTCTGTCACGGATAAGACCCGGCCCATCCTCTCTGGTGCTGGTGTCGGGCCATGGCAGGCCTGCAACACACAGCATGTGACGACGGGGAACATGCGCCCCAGTAGGAGGAATGCACCTGTGGGAAGCACATGACCAAGAACGACACATTGAGCTGTTGCCAAGCCCGACTCAACACCAGGGGAGTGCTAGGAGGTTAGGAGTAGTGCCTGGGATCACCCCTTTGCGGGCCTGCGTATATAAGGCGCGATAGCGTACCATGTACTCTATTGCTTAGATCGTCTGAAGAACTACCTTACTCCATGCAAGGAGGTGCCATCAACTCATCGGGCCCGACACAACCCGAGACTAAGATAATGGGCCCTTTCGGTTTCAATCTCTCCTCCCTCGCCATACTTGTGGGCTCGACGATCCGTCTGTTCTGTTCCGGACGCGCATTCTTAGAAGAGGTCTTTGCATGGCCTGACCCGCAGTCTGACCACCCGTTTCAGCTCCTCCAATGCGCAAGTTCCCGGATATAAACCAAGAGTTCAATGCGCAAGATATGGCTTATCAAGGGATCAGCCCTATCAACACTGGCAGAGCCCAGGCAACGTTCGGCAGACCATCAAACATTGATCGACAGCTCGTTGGACACCGTGTGCTCTTCGGCAGCCCCGGCACCCAGGATAAACAGCAATAAAAAAGTATATTTAGTGATTTAAAAGTATATTTAGTGATTTGACCCCAATTTGAGCCCTAAACGACACCAGGCGCATCACAGGCGCATCAATCCTCATCATCCTCCTCGTCACTAGTATTCCCGTGCTCATCCGCATCTTCAGGATCCACCAAACCGTCCTCTACATCGCGCTGGCCGCTACCAGCGTCGGCGTCGCCCCCGCTCCATGTCGTATACACCTCGTTTACGCCTCGTTCCCGTCGCTGACCACGCCCCAGTTTAGGCTCAGTTCGGACCAGTTCTGCCCGTCGCGAAAGGTTTCGGTACATGTCAGCATGCCTTGCTGCATATGCAATTAGGCCTTCGGCCTGCGCAGCGCCAACCCGGGAGATTTCCACTTGCGCTCCCCGTTTAGCCCAATTGGCTTCTTCGGCACCAAACGACAAAGGCATTCGTTCCCATTCTGCGGCAAGAATACGAACTTCCTCCCGCCATCTTCGAAGTTCGTGCATATGATTTAGCCCATTCAATCCGAAGCGCTATAATATCTCAGTATCTTCATTAAAGCGAGACACAAGGTGGACCTTCCTCCAGCCCTTCCGCTGTGTCCGTTACATCCTTCCAGATCCAGGAAACCTGACGCCGACTTTCGCCATGCTTGAACAATGCATTTCGCTGTCGTTCAGCATCGAGTCGATCGCGCTGAGTCAAGGGTTCTTCTGTGTCCATCTCGTCCTCGCCATCCTCTTGGTCGCTGTCGTCCCATTGGCAGTCTGCTGACCGGCAGATCTGGCAGTCCAGCCCGACGCAGCTCTGCCTTCCGCTTCTCTTCCTCTCGCTCAGCCCGCAACCGCTTCTGCTCCCGCAATAACGCATCTTCGGGCGCCTCCATACAACGGATGTCGGCCTTGTGCAGTTGGCGCCAGTGAACCTTGTCTTCCCCACCCAAAATCGCTACTAAAGCCTTCCAGCTGGCTTGATATTTCTCCGAATGCAAGAGAATTTTTCGCTCGTTCTTGTCCACGAGTGTTCGAGAACGCGTATTTGTGGCCTGAGCCCGGGCGTGATTCTTTTTGTAAGTCAGAAGTCGCGACTTGACGTGGAGCTGAAGTTGCAGGGAGGTCAACGCAGAACGGCATTGAGCATCCCGGAAGTCCTTCTCGATTTCCAATAAGCCCGCTCGACAACCCCCGTTCTCGAAATCTTTGCCGACCATTGCGGAAGGACAGAGGAGAGGTACACGCTCAGCGTACGTGTCTTGCGACACCTTCAAGGATTCCAGATGTTGCAGAGCGGCTGGCATATACGTGGCTTGAAGCGTCCGCAAACGCTTGATCATCCGATTCAATTTACGCCGTTGTCGGCGAATGCTCACTCCTCCGATTGACCCTCGCGAGTTTTTCAACTCCACTAAACCGCGAATTCGACGCCTAAAACAACTGTCAAAGAAAAGAAAGACAGCTAGCGAAGAGACTTACTGATCAGCTTCGGCATCTAACAGCGCGACCACAAATTCGGTGGGGGAAACGTCGTGAATGGGCAGTATCCCTGCCTTCTCTTGTGTCGCTTCTTCCTCTTCATACATCTTCCGGACGTCTGATTCAGTCAGGCCTGAATAGCTTGCGCATAAGTAGCCTGAAGAGGCGGCAGCGAACACTGACCTTTTGCTGTGGCCTCGTAGGGGCTAGGCTGGGCATTGTCAGCCTCGAAAGCTTCCACCTGACGCTTCCATTCAGGCACTCGTTCGGCATGCCCCAGGGTTAGCGCCTCGAAATCCTCTTCTTGCTTCTCGAGTTCCTGTTTGGCTCTATCTGTCCGTCGTCGTAAGATTGTCGCTAGAAGAAGCACGAGTTAAGATAAGTCAACGTTGGAGAGGACAACGTACCAAGGCCTAGCGTCTTCTGCCAATTCCAAAACGACCAGTGGTCGTCTAGTTGGTCCCACCGAGTGCCCGGACCCGAAACCCGAGTGCTTGCCGCAATACCGCCGATCATGCTCCAGGGTCGTTCGATACCCTCGCCGTCCGTCATGCCAGAACCCAGGAGAAGCCAAAGGGAGAAGATGATTTGGCAGATAATGAGGTGTCCATTGATGTGCATCTTTGGAACCGCAAAACCGCACCAACGACAAGATAAGCTTCAACCTCACCATTGGCGGGAGACGCTCCAATCGCTCCACCAATTTTTTCATCCATTGGCACGCAATGTCGTAGGAGACTAATTTGAAGAGTTTCGGGGAAATATGGCGCATGAGCGACGCGAAAATGTAATCCATATTGGCGTAGCTATCAAATACGATCCGTCAACAAAAAGCAAAGAAAACATGACCACATACCGCTCTCCAGCTTGTAAATCGCCAACTCCATTGGGTAGGACAAACTCATGGCGGGCACAAACTCCCATCCCGACGCCGGTAACACTATACCCTCTGGAAAACTTGGTATTCGCATGGTCCAACGCGGCAAGACCACTACAAGTACTCATCTACATCTGTTAGTATGACGCGTGAACGGTACAGACCAGTCCACGTACCTCTTGCTGATCAGTGGTTGTTAGAAGATACTCGCGATAAGGAGCCCATTCCAACATATAAGCCCATCCTGTTCCGAGGCCAGGGTCACGGAGCTCGTTGGAGATAGTTCTTCTCTTCAACCGAAAGCAGGCGTCAATCGCGATGAACATGATGTACAGACATCTAATGATTCGTTAGATAGATACTTGGATTAGGGAAAACGGACTTGCCGATCCTCTGGGGGAGCCTGTTCCCATCCTTCTGGCAGGTTAACGCCAGGGCGTGGACATGCCGGACAGCGAATGGCCAGTTCACCAGGTGCTGTTCCCATGACCCCATACTGGTCGTGGCCACGGCCTCCTCTCTTCAGCAAAAGCAGATGTCGGTATTGACGAGCCATTCGCAGGAAACTTGAATAGCGTTGAGGAGGTTTGATACCGGTGCCGTCAGTTAACGACTCCAATGTGGCGTAGTAGTCGTAAGCTGTGGTCTTTCCATGGAGGGTTTGGTAATGGAACGTGTCCAAGCATGCAAAGGTGGCGCAAGTTCGCGGAGCATCGCTCGTCGATGGGTACCACCCCGCCTTTAGCAGCTGGATATAATGCGGCTCATTGGCGACACATCCACAGAAATCGACAGCCACGTCGTGGAAGCCATTATCCGCTAAGACCACGAAGTCGGGCCGTCCAGGTCGCGGCAAAGAACATTTCTGCCCCAACGGATGGGAAAACTGAATCCGCAATCCAAGGTCGCGCAGGCTAGTCTTCTTGAAATAGACGCCGGTCCATTGCTGTTAAGAAAAAATTTCGATGAGTACTTTAAAAAAAAGCAAAGCAGCGCAAGTACCTCGATATGATGCAAAGGGTTGGCTCGATGTGTTTCCACGCAACATAAGCCGCAAAGCAAAGACACGTCGTGGCATGTTCGGCAGCGGTAAATGGCCGAGTCAACCTTCTTGCATTTGGAGCACACATCTTGGTCGGCGTCCCCCCGCCCCTCTCTCCATAACAGCGCCTGGAGATACACGTCGCGTTGGTTCTCAGCCCAATGATGCATTGCCTTGTCCTGGAGGAGTTGTGAGCGACGATAGAAATGGGCAAGGTAGAAGGTGCATCAACTTACAGCAGGCTGGGTGAGACGAGAAGTTGCTGTCTCGAAACCAAAGTCCTCCTCCACGTCTTCTAACCCCATCTCGTATCGCTCTGGGTCATCCGCGTTTGACAAATCCACAGCAGCTTTTTGACGTTCCATATGCTCCAAGCGGGCCCGTTTGACGGGGGAGGTGGGCGCAATGGGCACGGTTTCGCTAAAAACTCGTCGGTTGTCTGCCGTAAGACGATGCACAGTCGTAAGGACGGGGGGCATCGGGTTGCGCGCCAACTAGACGATCGATGGGCGTAGAGTGATGGCGTGCAGCCGGTGCGGGGCGCTTGCGGGACTGAGCTGTAGTCGGGGCCATGGGCACGAAAAAAGTCGAAGCTGGCTTGAAGCGAAAAGAAGACCGCGATGTCCACGCGCCAGCAGTGACAGACGTGACTCAACAACGCCAGGGCCATCATATCAGCCAAGGGCTTCGCCGGCACGTCCGAGTCCGACGAGGTCCGAAGGTAGCAAAATCAAGTAATACATAATACAGCCTACGTCATATCGGCCGAGGTACACGCTCAAAATGACAACTACAAGATCCAATGAGGAACGATTCTATGCAGCACATGAGTAAGGTCCGGGCTATCTATGCCTTCAGGGGGAGAGCCATGATAAAAACTGGGAGCGACGTTAGCGCGGAAAGCACAAATCGGTTGATAAGGAGGGGAAATAATGCACTTCTGGACCAAATTTGTGGCTTCCGCGGCGTCGGGCACTTCTCAGCCTTTGCGGAATCAAAGTTGCGAACGTCGCCCGGAAATCTTCCTGCAGAGCTTGCAGGTCGGGACAAGTGTGTTTGATGACGATAACGTTCCCAGCAGCGGGGCTAACAGGAGATGGCCCTTGCCATCCAAGATTAGCGATAGCAACGTTGTGGGGGACGTCAAGCTCGTCGTCTTCGTCGAGGCCACCATCATCTCGAGGAGCGCGACAGGACTCCAGAATCGTATAGGCATGGCCAGCTAAGATGTACATCACCCTAGCATCCAGCCATTCGTCCCACTGAGGCTCTCCAGTTTTCCACAGCGGTTCCAACGCAGGATAGAGCGCAGAGATGGTAGGCAGCGACGAGGAAGGTGAAAGGGCGATGGACATTCGCGAAACATGCCCAGGAACGTGAAAGACAAGTATTTTGATGGTCTACCCCATGTAGAGTCAGAATAAGAACTGTCGCGCCAATACACCCACCATGACGGTCCGATTGGCGGAGAGAGCTAGTGACGATCGACTACAAGTGATATCGTATGCCTAAGACAGGATCAACCGGTGTCCAGAGACGGAAAATGAATGACTGCACAATGGTCAAGTTGGGGGAGAAAGCCTGAGCGAAACGTCGCGCAAGTAAAGCATCCCTGGGAGATATTTATTCGCGTATTAGCATTAGCGCTGGACCTTTTACAAGTTTGGGGCGCTCTCGCCTCTGAGAAGTCCGTCGACCGGTGAGGAGCTCATCGAGGGAGAAGGAAAGGGAGTGGTGATTTCCGCTGAAGACGGAGCGATTGCGTAAAAAAGGCCAAGATGACGATGGCATTAAGTTGCATCTAAGTATTACACAAGCGGTTTGCGGGTGAAGTCCAATGCGCGTAGTCTGACACAACGACGTGCCGCCCAACCCAGGTGTACTTTGAGCAGTTGGCGTATGTGGGATTCGGAATCATCTTCAATCACTTCCAGCCCGTCTTGAAATGCTCTTAAAGCTGCCCATGATTGGATTGACGAGTCGAGCAGGGTACTCAACGTCTCCAAAAGCTCCTTCCGCGGCCAATTCTTCAGCCAGTCCGCCCACTCCTCTTCCGTTTCGTGCTCCTGCTTGAGTAATAGCCCGTGCACTGCGCGCTTGAGTTGTCGGAGATTTTTGTAGGGACGCTCGGGCTCATTCTCGAAATCAGAGGGTGCCCAAGGGGGTGGGAGGCCGTAAGGGTATAAACGGCGGCCAGAGATCTTGCCCGACCGAGCACGGCGGAAAAACCAATCATCGGAGGCGGGGAACTCGAATTCAGAGTCTGCCTGCAGGTTCGTCGGTAATACGGGAGTGTGATCGAGAGTAAGGGGCAGCTGTTTTCGACCTCTTTTGCGTTTACGATATACAGCTCGGACATCCTTCCCCCTGTGAAGTGTAATTAGCAGCCTGCCTGGATCGGTCGTAAAAACTGGGACTCACTTGGTGCTTTGCTCGTATTTGCGACTGGAATCTCGCGCCGCCTGACGCCTCTCATCTTCGTTATGGTACTTCTTGGGTCGTGTCATCACAGTGGAACGCGCAGGACAGATATGGTGGTGTGAGGAAGAAAGGCGGTGGGCCGGACCAAGTGCCGATGTCACGTCCAAATGCAGTCATAACTCTGGGACTTGATGATTTCGCAACCGTTCGCCTAAGAGAGCACGAATAGATGAGGAAACTGTGGTAATCGAGAGGGGGGAGTTGCCCCTTCAAAATTTGGTAGATTTTGCCCAGCAGCAATGAGTGGAGTTTTTGGTGTGGGGTCTTTAAGTTCGGCAAATCAAGTCGGTGCAAGGCTGGAAACTGCCTGTTAACCCAAAATCCAATCCACGTCTACCATTTTATGAAGGCATATCACTACACAAAATTTTATATCAATGGCAAGGGGCACTCATAAACTCCTCAAATACATGTTTCGATAGGCAAAAGCTTCAGTAAATTCCCCAAAATTGAACAATCAGTGAATCCCAGAGTTATGTCACGGGTGACTGAAACGGGTTCTGAGAACGACTACCTAAATTCACTAAGTCAAATTCTTCGTGCTTCAGCGGAGGTTAGAAGGATCCTCAGACCAGACTCAAGGGCACACAAAGAAAAGAACAGGATAAGAGAGTAATTATTTCTGACGACTAGTCTGTCTAGTTACGAGCCATAGTGGTAAGATTTAGGCTAAAACCAGTAGGTATGGCTAGGGAACCCTTTGCCTAGAGGATTAGCCCTACCTAGGCAGCCCTTTACTGGCCTCTGTTAGAGCCAAATGTGACGCTTTGTAACATGTGTGACATGTGTGACACTTATTCAAAAAAAATATTATTATTCCTTATCTGGTATCCTAGCACCTGTGGCAATGCACCTATCTAGATAATGATTTTATTGTGGAACCATTTTTGATTGCCATCAGTACTTTTGATGGCTATCTCATGATACATCATTTTGTCCTAATTAGGAAAGTTATTGATACAGGCCTTCCCAACTATATACCGGGTCATCGGCCTGAAGAAAAGGAGTTTAAAGTATTATATTACATAATTATTAACTTATATATATTATATAATAATTTATTCCATCATTGATATTATTGAATCAATAGCCTAAATCACTGGGTACAGCTAGCCCTAGGTGGAAATAACCGTGTAGGCAAGCACCTGTTTAGCTGTACATAGGGCTTTAGCCTAAAACTTACAGCTAAGGGTGGTTACATAGCACTAGCTCGTTCGAGGACGTGCTTCACTCGTCCGAACTGCCTCTGAAAGAACATTTCCACATGATGAAGGGCCCACCACGCCTTATGTGCATGTTGCATGGCCTCCACCGCCGTCTCCATGTCGCGCTCATGAACCCCAAGCTTGGCCAGCAGGACCAGCTTCAACCCCCGCTCTAAATCGCTCGAAGCACTGGCACGAAGCGCACGGATGAGTACTCGGTGGTAGAGAACCAGTCGATGGTGCTCTTGCTCCTCGAATCCAAAAGCGTCGGCCAGAAGGCGGACACTGTCGATGGTTCCAGTGAGCAGCTTGGCCTCTGCGTTAAGTTCTTCGAGGAGGGAAGACGAATAGACAGGCTTGTCGGCTGTGTTGGCTATAGAAATAGCAGCGACACGACGAGTGTGTTTTTCTTACACAATGTTAGTACATAGAGGATGACAAGGACAAGACGTTACACACCTTCTGCAGTCAGCGGCCGAGGCTTTGGGCGTTCATAAGGCTTGGGCCGGGCTTCTGGTGGCAGCTGAGCTTTTCCTGAGGAAGGAGGTTTGGAGGGCGAGATATAGGGTTGCGCTAGAGGTTCTGTGAGACAGAGTGCTGCCTTGTGCACGATGGACGCACCAGTCTCGACGATTAGCCCAGCTTTCTGGGGCCTGGACGGGACGGTCAAGGACGCAGGGCTTCTTCTGGGGAGTGCACGGCGCAAGATGTTCTGTCGCGCGTTTAGCGTTGAAGTAAAGTCTGTGAAAATTTTCACCTGGCATGATCGTGAGCGAAGAAGGAGAGCAAGTTAGCACTCACTGCTCGCTTCCTGAACCCAGCCAGCATGGGAAGCACGTCTCGTTGTCGTCTTTTCGCCCGAAGAGTAAGGAAAGGAAGTCGCAAACGCGTGACGTAACTATAGAATGTTCTGGATCAATTTGTTACGTGTGCATTTCCTCTTGACCATGGCTAGAATGGCGCAAAAAAAGTTTATTGACGCGAGCGCTTCTCTCTTTGCGCCAGCATGTCCGCTCCCATTGTCGCGTCTTCCGCAGCCTCCGCGACGCCCACCGTCTCGACTATCGAAGCCCTTGGCTCTTGGGACGAAACCGAATCGACCTCTGACTCTGCCTCTTCGTCAGAGGCATCTTCAGGCTCATCTGAGTCGGCACCCGTTGAAGGTTATTGGCATCGAGTACGTTACTTCGTTGTTTTCCCAGCAAAACTAGGCTGACTAGGATGACAGCGTTGGGCTTTGCTACCTCCAAACTTCGCACTGACCCCGCGAGTTGTCAAGATGGTCGTTTTCCCTTGGATGACTGGTTTTGCGGGCAGGTCCGACGTCTCGATCGATCCTCTGTCGCCGACTCTGCGAGGTTCCGGGCTCCTGATCGACTTCTTCGAAGTCAACCCCGTCCCCTGTAATCGCTGCACAAAGCACGCTCGCGCACACGAAGATCACTTGTACACTTTCCTCTTCGACTGCCCCCACACTTCGGACGTCCCTCATCGGCCTGTCAACAAGGCAGTACAAGCACTTATCGACAGGTCTCCAAAGAGACTGCTTCCGTGTCGAGGAACAGTAGTCGCCGTCAAGCACAAGCGTATTGCTAATCGGTGGGCTTCCAATGCTGATCTCGACCTGGTAGATGTGGAGAAGGGTGATTTGCCTACGGTGGGGCGCATGCTGCTCGAGTTCGTCTTCATCTTGCGCATTGTCTTTTGTTAACTTTTCAACAGACTGCTGGCGAGCATGAACCAGCATGCTCGGCTTTACTTTCTCTCCGGCCAGCAAACGCAAGACGCTTACA